CGGGCGCCCGGGGAGCAACTTCCCCCGTCTTGCCCCTGCCTTGCAGCTGCTCCCGCGACCGACCCATCTTCCTGCAGCTGAAGGATTACTTCTGGGTCAAGACGCCGTCTGCCTACGAGCTGCCCTACGGGACCAAGGGCAGTGGTGAGTGCCTTGCCCGGCGAGGCTCACTGTGCCATGCCGCCTCCTGTCCCCTGCTGTCCCAGCCCGGCACCCAGGCTCTGAGCGGCTCAGACACCACGGCCAGGGAGGAAAAGGCTGTCATCGATGTCCCTCCCATCCCCATCTCTTGCAGAAGACCTGCTCGTCCGGGGCCGGGCCCTCAACCGCAACTTCTCTTGCAGAAGACCTGCTCCTCCGGGTCCTGGCCATCACCCGTCACTCTGTCCCCGAGAGCATCCAGAGGTAGGATGCCCTGCATGGCTGGGGGGGGGGTCACTCCTGGCTCCTGGTCGCCGGGCTCTTGGGGCCAGTTCAACCCTACTCTTGGGCTGCCTGTCTCCAGAGGGTACAGGTGTGCCAGTCCCCATGGCAGCCTGGCCCTGGAAGCAACAACAGGCAGGGAACATCGTGTGGCACAGGCGGGTCTGCAGCAGCAGGGCGCTCTGCAGTGGGATTGCCCACAGGCCCCTCCGTTCAGGGCCCAGGGCTGTGGAGTCAGTGTGAGCGTAAGCAGGCCCCCTGCCGTGCCCACTGTGGGGGCCAGGGCCGAGGCCCGGCAGGTAGCAGGAGCGTGCGGGGAGCAGGCACCCGGCTGAGCGGTCCTTCTCACACAGGCTCCGGTGCCGCCGCTGCGTGGTGGTGGGCAACGGGCACCGGCTACGGAACAGCTCGCTGGGGGGCACCATCAACAAGTACGACGTGGTCATCAGGTGGGCGCGGCCGCTCCCTCCCGTCGGGCCGGGTGCCCGGGTGGGACGGCAGGCAGGCCTGGGCCTCTGCTGACTGGCACCCCTACACGCCACAGGCTGAACAACGCCCCCGTCGCGGGCTATGAGGGCGATGTGGGATCTAAGACCACCATGCGTCTCTTCTACCCTGAGTCCGCTCACTTCGACCCCAAAGCGGAGAACAACCCGGACACACTGCTCGTCCTAGTCGCTTTCAAGGCTATGGACTTGCACTGGATGGAGGCCATCCTGAGCGACAAGAGGCGGGTGCGTGGGGTGGTGGGGCTGGGGCCCGGGGCCGCCGTCTCATCCGGGCCTCACACCCCAGCGTCTGCTCTGAGCTATGGCGTGAGCTGGGCCCCACCGTTGGCTATGGGCTCCCCCAGGCCACCGCCCAGGAGGCGCTGATAAACACCCACAGCTGGGCGCAGAGCCTGCAGGTGCCGGGCGTGGCCTGAGGTCCCCAAGGCACCTGCCATCAGGCCGGGAAGAACACGTGGGCCGCAGGGCTATTCGCAGTTACTTCTAGGCGGGCGGGCTATTGCGGTGAGGGCTGGGCTCTGCTGCGTGGCCTGCGTCACTGCTTTGCCATGCAGGCGAGCACAAGTGTCAGACAGCCTGGAGCCCCAGCCTGCCCGGGAGTACACCGTTGGAGGTGGGTGCTGGCAGCCAAGCGTGCCCTGCGCTGAGCCAGCCTGCCTCCCGCTCCACGCAGGCCCTTCCCTGCCTCTGACCTGGCCCTTCCTTCCAACCCCACCCGCCCAGGTGCGGAAAGGCTTCTGGAAGCAGCCTCCCCTTATTTGGGACGTCAACCCCAAGCAGGTTCGGATTCTCAACCCCTTCTTCATGGAGATAGCGGCCGACAAGCTCCTGAGTCTGCCGATGCAGCAGTCGCGCAGGGCCAAGCAGGTGCGACGGAGTGCGGCTGCAGGGTCCCGGGCGGGGGCGGCACGGAGGACCCGTGAGCCGGGGGAGCCAGGACAGAGACTTGCAAGACACGCCTGAGGTCACGTTACGGCCGCTGGCTTGCTGTGGCCTGAGGGGTGCAGGGGCAGAGGTGGTCTGCGTCAGGTTGGGGCTGCGGTCAGAGGCGGTGCTGGCTGGCTGGGTCAGAGCCGTGGCTGGTGCCGCCTGTGGTCTTATCTCCAGGACTGGCCCTGGGCAGTCACTCCCGACTGACCCGAGCTCGGAGGGGCCGGTGCGCTGAGAGGAGCCATCTGGGCTGTGACGGCTCACGCTGTCTCCTGGCATGGGGGGCCAGGTCACGCTGAGGGGCACGGTGCACCAGCACCCCAGTCCTGCACTCAGCACTTGGGGTCTCGCGGTGGTGTCAGGACCTCCATGCCTGACCACAGCGCCAGGGCGGGGTGGGAGCAGAGGTAAACCCGCAGGCATGCCGCATCTTCGGAGAGCGAGGGGAGCCGTCTGAACACACCCGTTCATTTTGGCGCAAGGAACGTTGCCAATGCGGGTGTCCTGTCCGTGCCACGCGCATCTCCCCCGAGCCCTCCCAAGGCCTCGGAGGCCGCACTCCCAGCCGTGGGGCTCGCTGTCGGCCTGTGTGGCCGGGTCATGCTCGTGCGGGCCTTGCAAGGCCGCTGTAGGGTCCTGCATTCTGTTTTTTCTTCTGCCCGAGGCTGTGCGTGCTCACTGGGGAGAGACAGAGGAGATGAGAAACACCCAGGTTCTCTGCATGGTTCTCTGCAGTCCCCTCTCCCGTTGGTCCGCCCTTTCAGGATTTGGGACACACACTCGCATGCACCCATCATGTGTCTCAGGCTGCCCGGTCTGGAACTCGGACCACGTGGTTGCCCACATGGGATCAGGCTGCCTTAACTGCTGTGCCAGGGGCTGGCCCCACTGTGGGATTCGAAGGCGTAATTACAGGGCCCAGAAGGTGCTGTGTGGCTGGACCCCCACATGGCCAACTGTAGTTTGAGTCCTGGATCCAGTGGCTTGAAAGTCATGCCAGGCACGTGTGCGTGCATGCCCGCAATCCCAGGAGAATGGAGGAGAAGGGGTTGTGGTGCGGCCATCCCCGCCAAGCGGTGATCTCTCTTTCCACCTCTCTCTCTCTCTCTCTCTCTCTCTCTCTCACTCTGACAAGCACACGCACTCTATGGCAAAATCCTTAAAAAGAATAAAGACAACTCTGAAATACCCCGCCGTGGGGACTGGTGCACAGCTCTGCCCAGCAGCCCTCGCTCTGTCTGAGTAAATGCTCGCAGGCCTCCCTGGGCGCCTCCCATGGGCTGCGCCCCCATCGGACTGGGAGTCTGCAGCTGGCGCTGTGCTCCCACCCTCGGGGTCCCCGTCTAGCAGCAAAGCATGCAGCCAGCACCGAGAAGTCCTGGGGGAGGGGCAGACCTCTGCCAAGCCTGTCACAGGCCCCAGAGGAGGTGGTGGTCCAGCACCCCTCTCGCTGCAGCAGAAAGGGGTGCCCCCTCTAGGAAGGCCGAGTGGCTCCTGCATAGTCATCCTAGAGTGTGCGGCCATGGCTGGGAGGGCCTTGGCTGTGGGCGGGGTGGAGAGAGGGCAAAGCGGTAGGAGCCCGGCTCCCGGCTGTGGAAGGACAAGCACTTTGAGGCCTAGAGCGACGCCCACCAGTGGGTCCCGGAGGCCAGGAGGTAGCGTGGGGCCTCTTTCTTTCTCTCCCTCCCTTAGAGATTTTTGCTATAGGGTACATGAGCTCACCAGAGAGAGAGATAGAGAGATAGAAGCAAGAATTCTCCCCTGGGGGGATAGCCACAGTCCCTCCTCCATTCTCCTCTTGGGATTTTGGGTATGCACACATGTGTTCCTGGTGTGAGTTTGAAGCCACCAGGTCCAGGACTCGAACCATGGTCGGCCATGTGAGAGTTCAGTGAAATAGCTGCTGTGCCATCTGCTGGTCCCAAGGGTAATGGGCTCTCCTGTCCGTCCTCACCTGAGCCCCAGAGCATGGGGCTGTGCTGGCCAGTGTGGTGGCCCCTGGCCCGGTGCAGATGTTCAGACTAACACGTAAGAAAACGAAACACCCAGTTCAACTCGGTCTCTCAGTCTGTGGTCAGTAGGGTCTTGCTGTCACATGAAGCCTCAGAGATGGAGTCCTGGCCACAGGCCGGGGCGGGCCCCCTGATGCCTCCACCCCATCCCTCAGAAGCCCACCACGGGCCTGCTGGCCATCACGCTGGCCCTTCACCTCTGCGACCTGGTGCACATCGCGGGCTTTGGCTACCCTGACGCCTATAACAAGAGGCAGACCATCCACTACTACGAGCAGATCACGCTCAAGTCCATGGCGGTAGGTGGTCCGCAGGTGGCAGGGGGGTGGGTGCGGTAGGTGGTCCGCAGGTGTGGGGGGGTGCGGTAGGTGGTCCGCAGG